TTTTCGGAAGTAACAATTTCGTTTTCACACGAGTTCTTTTTCAAATTATCTAAGGAACGTTTAGCTTTTAATTGAATTCTCAAAGCTTTTTCTCTGTATTCTTCAACGGAATTATATTCAGTTTCGAATTCTTTTTCATCTTGCAAACTATCTAAATAACTATTATGAGTTATTTCCAAAATGTCTACCTTTTGTTTAAATAAACAAAGATCCGTTTCAATTTCGTCATACGTCACACTATCGCCAATTAATAAATTTTCTAGTTTCTTGTAGGCCTTAGTAAATGAAGCTCTTTGAGCGGTTTTATTTCTTTTTATTATTTCCATTTTTACTATCTTAATATCAAATTCTTAGTTTCTAAAACTATCGATTCTAAGCACATATAAATTACCGTTCTGGTATCAAATATTCAAATAAATATATATATATTTCAAATCTTCAAAAGTATTCAAATTGTCAAATATTTAATCTTCAAAATGGAAATTAATAAATCTTCGCCTACCTTTCTTACCAATCCTTAAGACAAGGCCGCCCACCCGGGGGCGCCAGAAATGTCGTTCCTAACCGGATTGACTGTGTTTGTGAGAGGCATCTTGTCTATTGATTGATAACGTTTAAAAACAGGCAAAACAAAACATTTATTTTAAATAAAAAACAACAAAAAACAAAACAAAACACAGCGTTCCAAAGATATTTCAAAAAGCCAATTCAACGATATTTCCAGTTCTCTCTTTTTTCTCTTGCCATACTCAGAGTAACCTACATATTTTGAATACTTTTGGTGGCGCAAACTAATTGGAGTTAGTGTTTGCCGCAACACCCCATGTGCGTATCGAACCTGGTTGTCATGGCTGAACCGAACACTGAATCTATGAATGCCAGGATTTACCTACGATGGCGTCACTTTCAGGTATCCAATTATAAATAAACTAAATACGTAGTTTCAGATAACATTAGTAATACTAATTTGGGTGATGTAGCCACCACATGCCATCTATTCAGGTTGATTCGTGTGCTTACCTGATATAACGAATAAAACATTACTAATTATTAAATACTTTGTTAATAGAATAGTAAACTAACCCATTTTATATTTTAATTTGAACGGGAGCAAATAATGATCAATAAATATCACAAATGCTGGGTAAGTTTTGATCAATTAGATAATTAAACTCAATTAATTAGTAATTAGCTTTAAACAAAATAAATGAAGGAATAAAATATTGCATACTTAATTTAGTTACTTTATCTTTTATACTTCTGCAAATATTCATTTTCAATTTTGCATTTTTTGTTCAAATTTTAACACATGGGACATTACATTCAGAGAAAATAAATTTTAAACATTATGTTGGAGACAAAATGTTTTCGGTTACGACTGCCTTCGAATTTAAAATGATTCTTCTAAACTGTATAAAAGTTAATGTACAGCATCAAGAAGCTCAAAGTTAATTTAATGCTTCAATTTTATTGAAAATTCGTGCAAGAATAAAACAATTAATAATGATAAAGTTAGCAATATCATTAAAAATTGATTAAAAATAAATTTAAAAAAAAATTTATTTCAAAAGTTTGCTTAATTAAAGCTAACCGTTAAAATTTAAATTTTTAATCAGGGTATGCGAATCATCAGGGTCAAAAATCATTTCTTCATGTATTTTACTTATTTAAAAACGATGCACTTAAAATTTTTTATGTTTGGGTTTAAAAAATATTGGTATTTGGCCATGTCTGACGTCTAGTTTGACTTGTTTCACCTTTTAAATATAGAAATCAAATTTAACATTAATTAATTATTATAAGAAATTATAAAAGAAGTTAAATTAAACATATTTTACATATACTGGTGGACAAAATTAAGAGATGGAAAGCATTTTAGCACATTCATTCGCACTTACAAGATTCCTGCACACCGCTCCACGTGCTTGACAATTTTTCCGTGAGTGCCCAGGGGTACAGGCAGGAGGTCCTAAAGCCCTACGTGCGTCTTTTCAAGGGCACTGTTGGCCCTGAATTCATTTTTATGAACGACAATGCGCGACCACATAGGGCTCTCATGGTTGATGAGTATCTGGAAAGCGAGGATATTCAACGAATGGATTGGCCAGTCAAATCCCCTGACCTGAATCCCATTGAACATGCTTGGGATGCTCTTGGGAGAGCTATTGCGATACGCCAGCCTCCCCCAGAACCATTCTGGAGTTAAAAATTGCTCTGGTGGAAGAATGGGAGGGTCTTCCACAAGTCCTCCTTAACTCCCTTATTAATAGCATGCATACTCGTTGTGTATGCTGTCTGTCTGTCAGGGGTGACCATACGCCATACTACAGGAAACACACACTGTACAAGTCTCACTTTTATTGTCATCTTTCATCCTTAAGTTCAGACTACATTGGATTTATTGGCAATAGGTCTTGCCAGTGCATGACGCTTTCATTTTTGTTTTGCATACTTTATTATCATGGAATAAGCTATATCCATACCAAATTTCATTTATTTATATTCAGTATTTTTTGAGATATTTGGGAAAATGTCTTCCATCTCTTAATTTTGTCCACCAGTGTATTTTAGAGCATATCTTTTAACATATTTTAAATCCAGAATTTTTCCTAGTTTTCAGTAATTTTAATAAAAATATCACTCAAATGCAGCAAGATACCTTTTGGCTCAGGGTATTTGACGCTGAAACACTTTCTCCTGATGATGAGATAAATTGAATAGATAACAGCGCAACAGGTACAGATGATTGCAACCACTCGAAATGCTACTCTTCCATTGAAAGTATCCATGATAAAACCGCCAATTAAACCGCCAGTGGTCTTTCCTAAAAACGATATTGAAAGAAAAAGTAAAAGATAAGTAGTAAATAAAATTTGGGTGGTAAATGAGAACTTGATAAAACAAGAATATTTATATCCTTAATATTAGCAAGAGTATATTACCCTCTTAGCACGAATGTTATGATATGCGCAAGATATTTTAAAGTTTTCTTGGTTCGTTTATTGTGTGAAAAAGCATTAAGCTGTCTTGTAAACGCTTCTTTTAATATTCTTAGATTTGTTTAAGAAAAATGTCTTTTAATAGACACGGAATCATAGATATCAAAAATTATAGGAAACCTTTCTTCTTTTACAAGGAAGAGTTTGCGTTTAACTACAAAACTCATTGTTTTAATTCAAAACAATTTCTGCATTGAGTAGAATCTCAGTTTTCGAAAATTTAAGGAGATAATTTTATTAAGTTTCTGCTTTTATTTTTATGAAAAGATTTTCCTATATTTATGCATTTAGTTCTCATTGTATTTTTTCAAAATAAATAAAATTACTAACTTGTAAGAGTAAATAAAATATCAGCAAATTTTTTCAACAAAATTTCACTACTTATATATTTATACATTTTTATTTATTTATTTTTTTTTCTATTCGTTTGAGTAGAATTAGAATAAGCATATATAACTCTGCCATGGAAATTTACGGAATGTACCTATTTTAATGTGACAAAGTGATTCAATATTTCGAATATTTTTTACTTCCAATTATTCAAAACTATTCTAACTATTCATTTTTACTTCTAATTATATATTATTCAAAATTGATATTAGAAATCGTATTCGAAATCGGTCAGATTCTATTGTTTACTAAAAGTTCAAAGTAAATTCCATCCCGTTTAACTTATTTGAAGTTGGTATGTTTTAAACGTAAGTTATAGAAAAATTAATGTTTGCAATATTATACTATTTTCTGTAAAATAATCCTCATTTTATTCTCTACGTCTCTAAGAAATAAACCAAGTAATTAACTTTTTATCGCATAGTAGTACACTTGGAGTTACTTTACCCAAATGATAATGAATAGAACCAGCAATAGAAATTACAGTCGCTGTCATTCCTTCAGGAGCTATCTCATGACTGTGTAAGACAACAGCAACCCACAGCAAATGATATGTCAACACATTAGTGGATTCCAATATAAGAGAAAGCCAGGGATCATACAGTATCGAATAGCCAATAGAGTTAATTACATACCCTACCAGACCCAATATGAATATCTGAGTAGCGCCTATCTTTCTAACCCACCAACTGGAAGTTAAAAGAAAAGGAAGCCCATATAAAGCACTGACAGCTGGGATGAGGCCCATTAAAATACTGGAGGCTTTCATTTCCTCCAAGTACCAGAAGAGAAAGTTTTTTGTGTAACTCCAGGCTGTCCCGAGAGTAAAAACGACAAGAGCGAACGAAACAACGTCTGGGTTTTTCAATAAAGTTAATGTTTTCTTCCCCAATTTCTTTCCTGGAGTGTTGATTCGAACATCCAGTTTCGTAACGATGAGCAGGATAAGTAGGAGGATTGCAAAGTAGAAGTAAAACGCCGAATTGTAGTTCCTCTCTCCACCTTTGGGTGTCGTAACTTTTACAATATAGCCCGCAATCGGGGTGATGATTAGGACACCTGCTATGGAAAAAAATCGTTCTCTACCAAAGTCAGAATTGTGTTCTTTTACTAAAGACATAGATGTCACATCCATGAAGCGATAACAATTCGAATAAACGACCATGAGTAAGATGTAGAGCACCATGCTGACCATCATTAACAAATCTCTATCGCTCACTTCTTCAGAGCACTTGACACCAGAGTTCACGTAACAGGACACTCGGCAATACATTTTGTGTGGGACATCGCACCAGGAGTACGTCTCATTCTCACGGGACATGTAACTGACATTGTAATAGCAACGATCCTTAACTTGGGAAGATCCGTTGACGTGGATGGACAGGGAAAAATTTCGCCGCTCTTCTTTTCCGGCAAAAATGTCGCAGATCAAGTTCTGCCCGTTGCAGTGTTCGGTGACGTTTTCAGGGCATTGCACATTGCAGGAATTCACTTCGATGATGTCTTCCACAACGTCGCAGCTCGTCTTGGTGATGAGCCTGTCGAATTGCTTAGGGTGGCATTTGAGGTTGATGGGCTGGGAATCGCAGTTCACCACGTCCATTTTGGGAATGAGGAGAATGCTTATGAGGATAAGCATCGTGAGGATGAGGTTGAAAACCAATACTGGTTTGGATCTTCCTATTTTGTCCGCAACGACTCCAGATAGGAGAGTTCCAAGAAATTGGGCAACTGGTGATATTATGAATACTATGGATATTTCTCCCAACGAAATTCCTTGTTGTTTGAAGTAGACTGTTATAAATGGTCCTAGAAAAGCTCCAGCTGTAAATAAAATCAATGAATTGTAAATAAAATTATCTAATATGTTCGATTAATTATAACATATGAAATTTTTCAACTAAAATAAATAAAAAGATCAGTTGAAATATCAGTAAATTGTAACGGCAAATACTGGCAAAGAGTTTCAAAGATTAACATACAGTGTTTTAACAAAAAGAAGAGCGGAATATTTAGTAAATGTTTCAATTAATAATTTATTCGAAGACTTAACTTACTTCATTTTATTTTATTTATATTTATTTACTATATTTAGTTTATGAATAATTTGTTTTACTAGAGAGTTACTAAAGTATTGATCTAATGTAGTTGTACATACATAATTATGTGTATAAGGAATTGGTTAGCAAATAATTAAACAACAAATTGGAAGATTAATTTTCCTATTCATACTTAATAAGCTTGCAGTATTTGTTTTTAAAGTGTAACTGGTGCATTTTTAATTACAAAATAGTACATTTATACTTAATTTTGTACTTATATTACGTCTTGGATGATGCTCTTAGGCAGTGGTAAAAAAAATAAGTTAAAAATTGAAAATATTTTTTTAACTTGAATGTACTTACCTCCAAACCAAAAGAAAAGCATCAGTTTCAAAGGAATTAGAGGCTTGTAGATGCATATTGAAAAATCCTTATAAAGTCTTATCGTAAAATTTAAGTCTTTCTGAAATGATATTTAAAAAAATTAGTCAGTAATAAAAATTTGAAAGAAAATACTGTCAAGCTTTAAAAGATTGCAAAGAAATAAAGGAACAAAATATTTCACTACGCTTCGCTGCATATATGAAACGAAATGTATCCCTTCAATGTTTTTATAATTTGACTTAATATAAAGATTAGTTTTTCTTCAAAATTTACTATCTACGTAGCTGGTGAAATGCTTAAAACTATAATGAGTATAATTTTATAATATAAAATGCTGATCTGAAATCAACAACGACAACTCAAAATACATTTACAGAGTCCATCTAGAAGAAATAATTTAGATCAATTTTTAAGATTATCTATCATTATTTTATTTTTTACATCTTGACATGTTTTCCATAAATCAGATGCAACATATTTTATTGTATGACTCGAAAAAGTAGCAAAGTAAATTACGAGCTGCAATAAGTTTTTCATTGGAGGCGCGTGGGTGATGCATTTGGTAAAGGCCGGGGGTCGTGAGTTTGATCCTGATACCCGATTAAACAATCGGCGTGCAAAACGCAACGAGGTACATATTAAATCTGTCGTGTCGAAAGTCCTTATCGTTAGTTGCGATGTGGAAGTTTGGAGAGAGGAATACCAGCTGAGACGTTGTCCACGTCGTCTTATCGAGGTCGAAAAAACGTGGCTTTCCTACCATGGCTGTTAAAAGATAGAAGCCAGAAAAACGGGGCTAGGTGCTTTTTAATGCTTAGGTTGTGTCGTGTAGTTTTCGTTGATGATCCTCCAGCAAATTGATAGTAATTCAGTCTGGCTCAAAGATATTTTGCAATTGGTATATAATACGCCCGTGAAATCGGTTATAAATAAGTAAACAATTATTGCTTATTATGTTTAAATAATTCTGCTTTTACACACTTTCAAATATTATCAGTAGCAATATTCGTACTCACATGCACAGAAACGTTGCTTGAATGTAAATTAACTCTAAATAAAAATAGCGTTTTTCAAACTTTATAAGACATACACAACTGTCAAAAGATAGCGCCTGTTTTCAATAACTGCAAAAGAAGGAGACGGTCCAATTGGAGTAACCTTTTCCTTTATTCAACTTTCTTACTTTTACCGTGAACTCATTCCTGTTGTAAAAGTAGGAAACCCTTAAAATTAAGTTGTGTCAAAAAACTCACACTTATCATTTATATATCGATGCTTCGTATTTAAGTTAACAATTTGGCATACGGGAAATGTAATTCGTTAACTTGTAATGCAATTTTCAAAAAAAAAAATAATAATTTTTGAAATTTAAAATTATATACCAATTGAACAACATGACATCGAAGATTTAATACTTTAATAGTCAGAACAATCAGCAAATATCAAAGATTTTTGTGAACTTATCTGTTAACCTCAGATTTATTGTTTTGAATTTCGGTTGAAGGCTTTTCCGCTGTGATACTATAAACTCCAGCTGAAGTTGAAGTTTCAGATTCTTGACTGATGGTTCGCTTCTTAGTGAATTGAATCATCCCATTCATAAGTGAAAACTTATCTTTTTCTGAATATCAACAGTTGTCTCTGTCCACCTCAAACCGACGGTCGATGCCATGAGCGGTGCATGACGAATCCATAATGAATGCAAGGTTGAGTGACAATCCTATTAAAATGTAACATTTGTCAGAATGAGGACAGTTTTAAAGCGCGTTTGACTCATGCAAACTATTATAAAGTATTAAATGTTTTTATTTCCAATTAAAAGTCGCAATATTAAACTATTTTTACTTAAAAGATATTCAATAAAATTCTTTCCACTTTTATTTTTCAGGACAAAAATCTCTCTATTCTAAAAAAAAGTTTTTGCAGTTAATTTTGTCCCCTGAAAAACTTTTTAACTACGTGATGAAAATCTAAGATTAAGGAATCAATTCATTCAGAATCTTTCAGGGAAGACATTTAGGGCATTCAAATCTTTTACATAATTTTAAATTTTTATTTATTTTAGTTTTAAAGCACGATTTTGCAGTTAATAATGAAGAATAACCGCCGTTCACAACAGCCAATCACATGTCTGAAAACGGCAAGCTTAAAAAAGCGATTTACAAGTCTGAATTTTCTTTTTCAGAGATGCAACCAATCACAAAATAGTTAGAATTTCATTCTTCAGTTTTACAACATCTCAACTTATTTCGTATTGATATATTGATTAATCTGATTATTTGTTTTCTAAAACGTTAATTCGTAAGTTTAATCTGGTTTTAAATCTTAATTCGATTTGTTTATTTACAAGTAATGCCTAAAAAGAAAAGACCTAACATTACTAAAAAGTCGCAACTCAATGCGAAAGCTAATCGAAAGCGGGAAAAACGTAAACTTCATAGTATAGAAGAAAATAATGCTCTTTTGCTTATACAACCTAATGATGATTCAACTAACAAAAAAAAAGTTAAACTAACAAAGGTTGAGCTAAAAGAGAATGTGTGTAATTGCTACACAGTCGCAACAACATCGACTTTCATTTGCCCACATCAAACCAGACCTGTAAATACAGAAAATGTGGTTGGAATGCACACTGTACCAATTCGCTTTCGCAATGTTGACAATGATATGGACCAAAATCCTAATCCACCTATTTTAAAATCAAAACAACATGAGTTTGCTGGTGATTTATCGAAATTGTTACCTATCAAAGTGGCAAAACATAGTCTTGGCAAAATGTTTTCAAAATGCAGTTATTGTGGAGCTTTGAGATTTGCTTCTGCAAAAGGGCGCTCTGTTAATTCTTGCTGCCATAATGATAACATACATATACCTCCGCTGCATGAATATCCTTTATTTTTGAAAAACTTACTTCTTTCTGATGAGCAAGAAGCAAAATTATTTAGGCAAAATATCCGTGTATACAATTCATCATTTGCGTTTGCCACTTTTAGTGCTAAATTTCTTCAAGATGAAAGCAGAGGTCCACCGTTGATAAAAATTCAAGGACAAGTATATCACCATGCGACAACATCCCTAAATTCAGCAACCAATGCTCCAAGGAATGGACAAATATATATTTATGACAGTGTTGAGGAGGCTATTAAACTACGCATGAATTTAGACAATCTTCAGTTGACAAGGCATATTGAAAAATTATTAAGGGAAGTCAATCCATATGCACAGAAATATCGGATGCTCAGAGATTTAACTATTCATGATAGTGAATTTGTTTTACAATTTCAAAGATTTATATTCGATGATAAAAGAAGATACAATAAACCTACTT